GCTCTGACTCTACGCGGTAGACGAGCCGCAGCATGAATATCTACTGATACGATTTGGATTTGTCTCTTAAGTCGAAGAACACATGCCGCCTAATAGGCAGGCACATAGTCCGTACCGAAGTAGACTATGCGTTACTAGCATACTTTCCCATCGACTACTTACATATGCCTACACTGTAGAGTCATGAGGTATGTAGATGCTACTAAACCACTTCTAAGGTTATACACAGTAATAATCTTAAATGTTATCGAAAGATACCCTTGGAAACCGATCGTATTTTGTCAGTAATGAAAGCCAAAACACTTGACGCGCCTATGACCAGTTCAGGCACACGTTCTGCTGAAGTAGTGCTAATAAAGCCCCTAAGCAGTAGCTTGTCTCCACGGCCCAACCAAATGAACCAACGCCCCCTCGATAAGTCAAAGTCATTTCCCCGTGGCAGCCAATCCCATGTGTTACCGGGGTTGGGCCCGTGGCAATTGGTCAGTGACCCTGGAGGATCGCCAATTTTTGACTTTTGGGATTCCGTGGACGTGTGCGATGACCTTGTGTTAGTTATAAAACAGGTTCCAAGGTTAGCTCTGAGGATTGTACAATATAGCACCGGAGGCATATGACTTGGAATATGAAGTGTATTCGATATTAAGTCATTGGCTCTTACGATCTGGGCTAGTTCGCGGCAGTTGTAAATGCATTCAAGGTTCATCCAATAAACTGTCAGCCTAGAGGTATTGTATGGATTTGGTACCGGCTTAGGATTCTAGGTATTCTACTCCGCACCGAATCTATATGTAGTAAAACATCCCTGTGGTATATGTGCTTCATTTCATAGAGCCCCAATCGCGTGCAGAGCCGGGGTACGGCAAGCCGCATAGGCACTTACTTGCATGGCCGGTGCTTTTCCAGAAGAAACAGATTCATGATCCACCCGTCGATCTTCTAATATATATGTACGGAGTATACGGAGTATACAGAGAACAGAAAGAAAAAGAAAAAAGCCGGGGGCATTCCATAATCACCACAAGTCACCTCGGGGCACGCACTTGGTAACTCTCTGCATGCGGTCAGTTTCCAGGGCCAAGGTGTAAGACTGCTGTAAAATTGTGTAAAGTGATGACCATGTACTGTCATATAATTTGAAGTACATCCCCCAATACGAGTACCCACATACAACCCCATGTACCTCCACTGTCACATACCTGTTCCCCATTGAGTCGCGTCGTGAAGGGTAGATCCATGGATCTGGCACTTGTGGACTGGCACTCGACCGTTCCGGACTCTTTTCTTCCCCCCCTCCCCTGCACTCTCCTTCATCCCCTCCTTTCAAACCTTTTTCCCTTTTGCATCCATCTTACCATTCTTGTCAATTTCCCATCCTTATCTCAATCGTTTTCAAAGCGCTCATAGTCCAACTGTCGCAAATCCGATGAGACACCATCCGAGTGCACTCGACTTTCGATCGAATCGCTAATCGCCTTCGCCTTCGCCTTTCCATTTCTATCGTTGCATCGCGTTTGGTGTACGATCTCTTGTCGCATTACCGATCACTGCCCAGAACTTCGACTTTCCGAATCCCGCGACTCCTTTTTTTCCTACCTGGACTATCTTCCCCTGTGTGATCGCGAACCCCCCGAAAGGCGAAAAAAAAAAAAATTCGAAAAATTCATATCTCGTGGAGGGATGAGCGGCAGCTCTAGCCAGTCCACTCGTACGAGTCCCGGCTCTTTTGGAACTATACAACTCACAGAGTCCGTGTCATCTGGTTCGCCCCCACAGCAGTCACTCCCTTCTTCGCAGGCGCCTTTCACGGCTCAGTATGCGATGTCGACCGACGTGTATAGCCCGAATGCGTCGCAAGCGCCTTCATCTATGAACCCGTCTTTCTCATACCCCTTTTCCCCTATCGGTACAACATCTTCATTCGATAACAACATGCGCTTAGGCGATAACGATCGCAACCTCCAGGGCCTGAATGGCCTGAATCGCGGAAACGGAGGCGCGATTCTCATGCGCAAACTGCCGCGAAACACGAGCCGCGAAGCCCTGCGCAGTATGCTTCTTTTCGCCAAAGACTTTGTCGACGCGGACTTTGTGACCTTGGACCTGCCGGAGGATGACGGGTTCTTGACCGCGATCGCGCGCTTCATTACTTTGCCAGCCGCTGAAGAGGCTAGGTCCCTCCTGGATGGCAAGCCGAACTCCAAAAACGACGCCAACATGGTCGTCGAGATGTATCCCGGTCCGATGGGAGTGAATCTGTCGAACACGCGTCGTAACACCATCGATCACACCGCAAGTCGCGCGTTAATGGGTGCCTCAAACGGTCCCCTTACGCGTCAATCATCACGCTTCAACGGCACTTTCCAAAGCTTGGAGAGGCTCTCCAACGCCAACCCCAACCAGCCTATCGGAGAAGGGCTTCCTCCGACCTCTGAATCAGGCTCTCGCATGCACAGCCTTTTCTCGCCACAATCTCCGATCGGAAATGGCATTGATAACCTCCCACGCATAACCGGGAAGTCTATGATTGATGAGGACCCGGACGAGGAGACGGGTGAGCTGCTCAAGGATCCGGTAGGCTATGCAGAGAATGGCCATTCTACCAATATCTCTGCCGGACGCCGGGCCACCAACCCTCAAATCCCAACCAACCGCTTTGCCAATATGTCCCTTTCGACCAACATGTCCTCGCCACCTTTGCAGAACTACCCCGGGGGTGGTGCGCAGCGCATGGGCGGTGGAGCACCGGCATCCGCATACCCGAACCAAGGCCATAATTTCCCATACAACGCTCAGCACACACCACGCCACAGTCTCCCTGCTGCGAACCCGAATGACCTGAATCCTCCTTGCAACACTCTGTACGTGGGCAACTTGCCACCCGACACCTCCGAGGAGGAACTTAAAGCCCTTTTCTCCAAGCAACGCGGGTACAAGCGGCTCTGTTTCCGAAACAAGCAGAATGGACCCATGTGCTTTGTGGAATTCGACGAGGTCGCCATGGCCAGCAAAGCGCTCAATGAACTGTACGGCTACAAGCTGTCGAACAGTGTCAAGACTGGCATCCGTCTCAGCTTCTCAAAGAATCCTTTGGGTGTCCGCTCTGGTCAACCCGGCAGCATGAACTCGTCCAACTCGGCCTCTGGACAGGGCGCAGTCCCTGGAGGCAGCAGTTTGAGTGGAATGCACAACAACATGTTCTCGGCTGTCAATGGTCCCCCTCCTGGACTGGCAGCACCTCCTGGTCTTGGCATGCCCATGCCTGCGCCGCCGATGCGCAATGGCACCTCCATGCACACCCCCATCAATCCGCATGCTGGACTGATGGGCAATGCCTCATACAACCACAACTCGGGCCTGGGAATCCGAAACGGAGCCAATCCAATGATGTCGCCGCCGCCACCTTCTAATCCTGGCGGCAACAACAATGCGGCGCCGAACCTGAACGGCTATAATTCCTTTTACCCTGACTACATGATGGGTCGTTAAGCCCATTCAAGCGTTATATCAAGATAATGCCCGGCATGTTTGAACGAACTGGGATATCTGGCGCATTTGGGGATCTTCGTTTCGTGAGCTAGATCAGCATTCGGCGGCTGCATACACTCTCGGGAGTACTGTTTCGGATTTGCTTTTCTGTTTCCCCCCCCCCCCCTTTCTCCTTTTTTTTTGCTAGTCCTTTTCTTGGCTTTTCATCTTTCTGTTGCATGGGAACCTGGGCGCTCTTTACATTCCTTTTTTTTTGTTGTCTCTTTTCATTGGGAGGATTGCATTTCAGGTCATTGCCAAACTTGTATTCTTATCTGGTCGGTGCGAGGCGCTCGAGAGCGCGTTTGTTTCTGTCGCCCATTGCGTTTTGTTCACACCTTCATACCCTCGTGATTTCTTGATTTTTTTCTTGATTATCCCACTCGCTTATCCTGACTCAATAGGCAATACACACTAATGCGTGTTTGCTGTCTCTGCCCTAAGCAGGATCTATACGAACTGTTATCTACTTTATTCCACGTGATTCCCCCTGTTTGTTACATCTATCCTCTGGATCTTTCTCGATGCATCGTCTGCGTGGATCGGAAAGGATTTCGCTGATTTACTTGCTTTCTCTATTGCAATGCGTGTTTATTTCTACGCAAGTACGAAAAAAAAGAAGGGTCTTATGTGGCTTTCTTTAGCTTCTCTTCTAATATCTCTCTACTCAAATGGCATGAGCTACGGAAGGACATGACATCGGCTTACGTCGACCACATATTGTCCAGGCGTTCGCGTTGGGTTTATCTCTCTCCTGCCATATTCCTCTCACCGCGGCGGAGACGAAGGCGTCCGGTTCATGCATTTTGCTCGAAGGCTCTTTTCTCATCTTGCTTGCATTGCCACTTGTTTTGCTTTGGGTCTGGCTTATTCTGCTTTTCCAGGAGAAGAATGAGGAAACGAGGCGTGTCTATTATTTTTTTTTACTCTTCCTCTTACCCCGTCTTGACGTCTTGCTTGGGGGTATGATACCGATACATTTGCTTCGATCTGTACTTGATACAATGAACTGTCCCAGTTATTCTGGAGAACGAACCCATTTAATCCATTTATGATAATGTTAAGGTCTAGTAAAGAGCTATAAAGGGATTCTTTTTTACTTCCTTTTGGACGACTCTTCGTATATTTTATAGTATCTACAGAACAGATCATGCAAGGATCCTACTGTATGGTTACAGATACCCGGAACTGAATGTTGAACAGCGATTATTATGATGTGAATTCCAATAGACGGAATGGGAGGGAGATGTTTACTTCGGCTGTGGAGATGTGATCACGTGATGACACTACCGAGAAGTTTCTTCCCCTGCAGACACCTACGCTTCCCGCTTCAACCCGACAACCTCCCATCCTTCAATTATTGCTGCAAAAGGGTCAATGGCAGCTGGAACTCCTTGATTCTTAATATCCAGCTTCTTCCATTCAGCTTGACATTAAATTCTTCCTCCCGCTCCCCCATCATATCCTCCAAGATGCCACCCCGGATACAGAGCCGGACTGTGTCCAACACCCTTCTTCCCTACCTCACAGCTACCTCCTCTTCCTCATCCTCACTTTCCTCTCTTCCTTCATTATCCTCTACATCATCACAATGCATTTCTCGCCAATTTTCTGCCACGGCAGCACCACGGGGACAGACCAAGCTCCGTCGGCAGATGTTCGAATGGCTTGACGGCGAAGGAGCCGTTTTCAAGCACCATCTTCCTGGGCAAACCAACTATGTTACTAGCCTAAAGCAGCGAGGCAACGAGGGCTCGGAGAATCCCCGTCCGTTCCCCAACAACCAAAGTTTCTTCAGCGAGCCTATCCTCAGTGAGGAGCTACGGAATGAGGTCTATAATCGCGTCGTTGAACAGAAGAAGAGTGCCCGCGTTGTCAGTGTGGAACTTGGAATTGATATGCAGCGTATTGCTGCCGTCGTGAGATTGGTAGAACTGGAGAAGAGACAGCGCGCACAGGTAAGAACCTCTCCCCTCTCTGGTCTTTTTTCTCCTTTCCTTTCGGACTTTGCTTCGACCCTCTACGCATATGATGAGTCACAAAAAATCGATTAGTCTTGAAGACACCCACATGGTTAAACCTTACTTTTTGAACTGAACTGTGTTACCCTTACATTTTGGATTCCTATCAAGTTTTATTTGGTCGCGTGACATGAACTGACGAATCTCAAATCAGGGTAAACCCCTAGCACTTCCATATGCGCGGGCCGTCCACGAGATGGTCCCCATTACCCCCCTCGCTGAGAAAGGCGAGCGTCAACAATATCACGAACCCATCAACGACCTCCCCGCCCACCCCCTAACAGGCTCCCAAATCTTCTACCCAGTTCCCGAATCCCGCTCCTTCAACCGTGTCGAGGCCGGCCGCGTCTTCTCCGGTGCCCCAGCACTGGAGCAATCCGAGGCCGCAGAAATCTCACACCCCTCCGACCTCGCCGAAAAGATCATGGAGGATCCCAACTCCATCGGCTGGGTCGGCAAGGGCGCCAATGCCCGCCAGATCTTGCAGCCTGCAGATGTGCGCATTCCTCACCCTCACATGGTTGCCCAAGAGCGCGATCGCCTTGCGAACCCCAACGAGTGGCGGGCTGTCGCAGACCTCCAATCTAAGAGACTCAAGCGCCAAGACGCAATTGAGAAAGAGCGTCGTGAGCGCATCCAGGCTCGTCGTGAGAAGAAGCTCACTGTGGTCTCCCCCGAGGACTCGCGCTTCGACTACCGTATCAAGGATACTATCTACACTACAGAGACCACTGGCACCGATGGCCGTAGTTCCAAGGCTACTGGTCGTCGCTACGGTGTGCCTCACCGCGACCGCGCACGTGGCGAAGTCAAGATTCCTACCCGTGTGGAGGCTTGATTTATGCTGAGATAGTCCCGAAAGGGCTGTTTCTTTGTTCTTTTTGTGTTTTTCAGCAACTTTCTCGGCTACGGCCTTTGTAATTTTATTTTGTACGCATACTCATCCATGGATGTATGAAGGAGGCTGTCGCTTATGTACCTATATATCGGATAATTTCTGGCAACTTGAAATCTTTCCCTTCCCATTTCACGTCTTGTCGCTTTTTGGTCAAGTAAATCTGAACTTCCCAGAGCAGCACATACTTGCCTCTCCACTCTAGGGCTGGGGCCCAAGGCATAGTTCGTATGTCCACCTGGATGTGCCCGATGGATGCTCCTGGATGATCTTATCAACTTTAGAACAAAGTGGGGGCTGGTCAATAGAGCACTGCCCCAATGTTCCCGTGTAAACACTGCAAACAGGATATAACCCTTTCCACAAAAGAGGGAGGCACCTCTCGCCTCTCCCATATCGAAAATCCAAGTCTCATCTTAACACGAAAATGGATCCCATCGCCCGCTTCGAGGTGCTCCCGCTCCCCCTCCAGTTTCTGATAGTTGGCGCGGTTGGCGCGATTCTCATTCCAATCATTGCAGGACTGGTGGTCGTTTGCCTAATGATCGCATCGGCATTGGGCTTGATTGACTGGGATCGCTCCGGTTCGAAGAAACAAGCGATTGCCAAGGTCGATCCAATCCCCGATTCAACCGAGAAAACATCAAACCTTTCCAATGGTGGAAATCGTACGGAAACCGATATTGAGGGGGAAGCGGATCTTCAGATGGAGATCAACTTCCTCGAGGAAAAGTTGCATGCTTGCAAAGACAAGCTGGCTCGGTCCCGTTAACTATATCGATGCATCTGTACCCCGACTTCTTGGATGTTTCTCGCCTTGGGTACGCTCGGTCATAGCATGTCACGCCGGTTTTTGGAATCGGGAATGATGGACTTGAAATACGAAAAGGATACATACCCTCATCATTCTAGCCAAAGATACCTGATCTTTTGACTTGCGTTGTGGTCTTTTATAACTTGAAAGCAGATAGTGAGGCAAATATGGGCATGTGACATGTATTATGTGGGGAGCTGTTGTTGAATACCTATCTTTGTCTGGTATATAAAGGGGACTGTCTTCAAATCTTTAAAGAGAAGTTCTAAATTGCTACATTCGATGAGATCCCAAGTATAGATGAGAATCGTTGCTCGGTTAGTCTTTCTATTATTCCAAACCTGGGGCTCTCGACTGTAAGGTGGGATTCGTGGCCTGAACAATCAGAAAGATGATGTCACAAATACAAGGGGAAATTGTCGGGGAAATTAACCTTGGAATAATCAAGACCCTGAAAAGACCCTGAAAAGACCCTGAAAGCAGTAAGGTTGTCGAACGTTTGGGGGAGTTGAGCGCACATTCCACTCACTCTTGGTTACAACGCTGGACGCGTCTTACTGTCCGACTTGAATAGCTGATTTGTTCAATTATTATACATCCTCAACCGACCATGATGATCTCGGGGAAGCTATGGAGCTGGGAATCTGGGAAGCCGAGATCATGAAACTAGAGACCTTCAAACCCGTGGGGTGGGCCAGTGGAGCCCCGCAGTTACGGACATTTGCCGGAGAACGAGAGAGCGGTCGATGCCTACAATATCACTGTCTTTGTCTTTAGAGTGGAGCTGACCGCATCATTCCTCGGACTTTTACCGGAGCAGCAAATGCCAAGGATGGGGGATCGTAGTTGGCTTTCAGCTTGAGCAGGGTTTATGTTGCTGCTGGGTTTTGATCTACAGGTTAAACCCATGTATATACTGCAAATGCCGGGATAAGGTAGCCCACCAAGATGTCGACGACATGGATGGGACAGTGGCCTCAAGAGCGACAGAAACAATGAATGTCTCTAGAGTTCGATGGTTGAAATAACATACCCTATTCCGGGTGGGGACCGCGGCCGTGAGGAATGCCGTACTCTCCGCACTCACCACACGGTCCATCTTGGCAAAGGAAACTGAGAGAAGTATATAAGGGGCGTTTGCGTACGTGGCATTGCTCATTATCCAAGGCATCAGCATGCACCTCAAGAAGCTGCTCACTTCGGCTGCAGCCCTGAGTGGCTGCGTCCGGGCCCAGAGCCAGGCTGGTATCGAGGATCTCGATGGCCCAGGCAATGACCTCTACGAAAAGGACCTGTCCAAATGCCCAGGATATAAGGCGACAAAGCAGTGGGAGACTCGTTCTGGCTTTTACGCGGAACTCTCTCTCGCAGGGCCGGCATGCAATGTGTTCGGGACTGACCTCCCAGACTTGAAGCTGGAAGTGGAGTATCAGACCAGCGATCGACTCCACGTCAAGATCTTGGACACCAACAACACGGTCTACCAGGTTCCAGACAGTGTCTTCCCGCGCCCTGGATTCGGCCAATGGTGTTCCCCGAAGGACTCCAATCTTAAATTTGACTTCAATGCCGACCCCTTCTCGTTCACCGTCTCTCGGACCGACACCGGTGAGATTCTCTTCGATACCACGGGCAACAAACTGGTGTTCGAGAGTCAATATGTCTATCTCAAGACACACCTGCCACAGAACCCGCATCTGTACGGACTGGGCGAGCACAGCGACGCGTTCATGCTGAACACGACCAACTACACTCGAACGATCTACACCCGCGATGCCTACGGGACGCCTCAGGGTGAGAACTTATACGGCGCTCACCCAATCTATTTCGACCATAGGAAGGATGGCACTCATGGGGTTTTCTTACTCAACTCCAACGGCATGGATATCTTCATTGACAACAAGGGTGGTCAGTACCTCGAGTACAACATCATCGGTGGTGTTCTTGATTTTTACTTCATTGCTGGTCCCTCCCCACGCGATGTGGCCATTCAGTACGCGGAAATCGCTCAGCTCCCGTTGATGACTCCTTATTGGGGACTTGGTTTCCACCAGTGCAAATACGGCTACCAAGACGTCTACGAGGTCGCCGCTGTCACCGCCAACTACTCCTCCAACAACATTCCTCTGGAAACCATCTGGACCGATATCGATTACATGGACCGTCGGCGCATCTTCACTATTGATCCAGAAAGGTTCCCGGCCAATCTGTACAAAGACTTAGTGGACACAATCCATTTGAGAGATCAACATTACATAGTCATGGTCGATCCCGCCGTATTCTACAAGGAGTCCAACCCGGCACTCGATGCAGGTCTCAAATATGATACTTTCATGAAGGAAACGAATGGCTCTGAATACCAGGGAGTCGTTTGGTCCGGTCCAAGCTACTTCCCTGACTGGTTCCATCCCGCATCGCAGCAGTACTGGAACGAGCAGTTTTTGGAGTTCTTCGACGGAACGAATGGCCCGGACATTGATGCGTTATGGATCGACATGAACGAGCCCGCAAACTTCTTCAACCGCCCCTACCCCGGCAACAACACCACCCCGGAACATTTCGCGGAGGTGGATGGTGACCCTCCGAAGCCGCCACCAGTCCGAGATGGGCCGGATGCTCCTATCCCTGGGTTCCCGGACAGTCTTCAGCCAAACTTTGCTTCCGGCAAGTCAAATGAGAAGCGTGCAACTGCCGTTGTCCAACGTCATCAACCTCGGTCTAATTCCCACCGCAACCTTGGTGCTGGTCATTGGCGCTCCGCCAAACCCCACTGGGCTCCCTCGAGTGCCAGCTGGCAGAACGACAAAAAGACCGGCTCTGGTTGCGGGCCTGACGAGTGCAAGGGCCTTCCGAATCGCGAGTTAATCAGGCCGCCGTTTATGATCCAGAACGGCGCAGGACCCACGCTTGCGGATAGCACTGCCGACACCGATCTGGTGCAGAGTGGTGGATACGTTCAATATGACACTCACAACCTTTATGGCGCTATGATGTCCTCGCATTCCCACAATGCCATGCGTGCCCGGCGCCCGGATGACCGCGCCTTGGTGATTACGAGAAGTACATTTGCTGGCTCCGGCAAGGACGTGTCCCACTGGCTTGGTGGTAAGAATGCTTCTGGCGTCTGCCCATTCAATATTAACAACGACCCCACGCTAAATATTCCGTAGATAATGTTTCCGGGTGGTCTTGGTACCGCCAATCCATCAGCCAGATCCTGCAGTTCGCATCATTGTACCAAATCCCCGTCGTGGGCCCCGATGTTTGCGGCTTCGGTGGTAATGTAACAGAGACGCTCTGTGCTAGGTAAGGACTGAATCCTCCCCTTCATATAGACGGCTCTAGCTAATGTACATCCACAGGTGGGCAGCTCTCGGCTCCTTCTACACGTTCTTCCGCAACCACGCCGAAATCTTCGCGAATCCCCAGGAGTTCTACCGCTGGCCAACAGTCGCTGAGGCCGCGCGCAAAGGAATCTCCATCAGATACCAGCTCCGTAAGTGATGCACGGAGTCTCCTCTCCGAGAATGGAATCAGAAACTGACAAAAAAACCCAGTCGACTACATCTACACTTCCATCTACAAACAGAACCAGACCGGCACTCCGGCCCTCAACCCTCTGTTCTTCAACTACCCGAACGACCCCAACACCTACCCCATCGACCTGCAGTTCTTCTATGGCGACGGCATCCTTGTCAGCCCCGTCACAGAGGAGAACAGCACAAGCATCAACTACTATCTCCCCGACGACATCTTCTACGAATGGGGCACCGGCAAGCCCGTCCGCGGACGCGGCGAGTACGTCTCCGCCGAGGTCGACTACACCGACATCACGGTTCACTACAAGGGCGGCATCATCTACCCGCAGCGCATTGAGAGCGCCAACACCACCACCGCACTGCGCAAGAAGGGTTTCAACATTGTCGTTGCGCCCGGTCTTGATGGCTCCGCCGTGGGCTCGTTGTATCTCGACGACGGCAAGTCGGTTGTGCAGGACACGGTGTCGGAGATCGACTTCAAGTACGCGCACGGCAAGCTCAGCATGACTGGCTCGTTTGAGTACGAGGCTGGCGTCACCATTGAGGCTATCACTGTTCTTGGGGTGGAGAGCGAGCCGAAGGGACTCCATGAGGCCGAATACGATAGCGAGAATAAGAAGCTGGTGCTTCATGTCGATGTGCCTCTGACGGGCAAGTCTCATATCAAGGTTGTGTGATTTGATCGGCACGGTCGTAACCCGTGATGGGTTCAAGGTTTTGGATTGGCGTGGGTAACCTGCTCTGCTATATATTCTTCTTGACTAGTGGGCTCGACATATGAGAAATCTGACAAGATCTCACAAAGGATTATTCTTTCGTCATGAACATAGGGCTAGGGGAGTAGAAAGTCAAGAGGAGCGAGAGAAATTCCTAAGCTCGCAAGAACGTGACTGACTATAGTTCCAACAAATGATCCGCCTCAGATGATACTTTCCAGGACATTCTGCTTCTGATTTTACTATATGATCGCCTTGTCGAGAAACAACGCACTTGTGGGCATATCAATCGACTATTCATATAATAATATTCTCAAATAAATACTTCGTTAACATCATGTATCATTCATTCTCAGACCAGTCATCTCAGCCCTGAAAAAACAAAGCACCCCGAAAACAGAAACTCCGAGATATGCTCAGCAGTCCCCTTATTCCATCCAGCATCGTTCCATTATCCCGATTCAATTCCTCTCATTCTCCGGGATAAATCAGGTGGTTACATGGTCAGCTCTCAACGAGCCTCGCCGACAGATCGACAGCGTCGCCTCTTCGTCCCAACCCATCCAGAGATCGCATCGGTTTCAGACTCATCTTCCTTGGGAGTTTGGAAAATGGACCCGATTGAGGTGAGGGCAGTTTGGAGCCATGAAGTTGTATTTGGGAGGGCTGGGGCTAAGGGTGTATTTGGTGGCTGCATGGTTGAGCTGAGGGGTTGGGATAGCGAGATGCGGGGTTTGTGGTTTGTGGTTTGCTGAGAGCAGGTCTTATGGTAAATGGGATATTATGGGGAGATAATAGTAGACGATAGTCTGGTATGTAGGATGTAGGGTGTAGGGAGTAGGACGTAGGACGTAGAAAGTATGTCAGATGTAGAGGTTCGGGGACAAGCTATGGTATTTAAGGGAAATAGAGACATCAGCACATGCAGAACAATAGTGGGAAAAGCAGACAAAGCCCGTATCTAAATCAGCTGCATAAGTGCCCAAATCTGGATTGGATATTATTTGTTGCCCTCGAAAAGCTTCTCAGGGTTGCTCGTACTTCGGTCATACTGCTTTCTCTTGATTGGCGCCATGGTCACGCATTGTGCCGATCTACTGATTTGCACGTGAATACTGGGCTTTCAAATATATCGTCCTCGTGTTTTGATTGGTCGCTATTGAATGAGTTCTTCGCTTGACAGATGCTGTATTACCTTGGATGCTCGAAAATCTGGAAATAAATGTGTACAATTTAGGTTGTAGACAGGATATCCAAGACATCCAAGACATTTTCTTTGTCTCGGTGCTTCGGAGCATGTTGTAAACTTACTTTATGGGGATACCTAGGCACTTCGAAGTTATAGATCGTATAACTTTAAATGCTTCACGAGAACTAAGCAATTACTTTCAATACTATGGCCACAAGTATCTGGACAAGAGCCACCACCCCCTTTAAGAATTAGCAAGATAAGTACAAGGTAGGAGGATAAATCAAGCCCCCTAGCCGGTAGTCGAAGCAAACAAAGAAAACTATACATTGAAGTATAGAGGCATGGGGACATCTCGTTCGTTTATATGAGGATGTCCATTTGTATGGCATTTGTATGCAAGAATGAAGATACCGACAAGAGAGACCAGCCAGAGAGAAAAAGGAATTGCACAGGCGATGCGTATACAGCCTAAAGTAACAAATATATATCCATATGGCCAAAAGAAGATCCACGAAGGAAAACCCCAGGCCCTAGGCCCGAGGACCTCGGAAGTAAGGTGCAAGCCACCATGACAAGAAAGTGCAAGGGTGAGACTGGAGAGAAAAGACATGTTGCTATACGGGGTATTCAATGGGAGAGACAGAAAGTTGAACCAAAGAGATTGGGAAAAGATCATTCAAAGTGTGCAGGGACCAACCAAGACATGGTGGCCCATCCAAAAAAAAAAGAAACATATCCGTCTTCATACTTCATTAGGGGGCGCAGCCGTCGCATCACTGGCTGGTCCTGCGTCTTCCGGTGTTGACAACTGCGGACTCGAGAGCGAATCTATACTGTCGGGACTGCCGCTACCCCATGAATCCTCCCGCATGATTTGCGCGACACCTGGCAGGTTCGGCTTGGTTTCGGGGGGACCAGATTTATTAGCGGGGCGGGAGCTCGAGGGCGATGGGGGATCCACCTGTGGTGGTTCTTTGCGGTAGCCACCTTGCATCGGGCTGGCTGATGTATCAACAGCTGGCGAGGCGGGGCGAGGAGAATCCATGAACCCGCGCCATTTGCGCCAGCCTTCAAAGTCAATCAAGGCTTGCATGCAGCCCCATTCTGTCACTTTCTGCTCAAGCCAAGGGAATCCAACGGGCTAGTCGAGAAATGTTAGCATACTATTTGAGAAGAATAGTTGTAATAGGGAGCGGGACTTACCTTGGTCAAGAAATCGTTGCAGCCAGCAGCCAGTGCCTCATGTCGGTCACTTTGCAAACTGCTAGCTGTCAACGCGACGATAATGACCGGACTCCGGAATAGTGAGAGATCTTGCAAAGTGTCCTCTTCACTGACCGTACGGTGAAGGCCCGGTCTTCTATCCGCGGCAGAGGTATTGGACGCGCTAAAGCGACCAGAGGCTGTCTTGGGGAAGACACCAATACCATTCAAGCGCTCCAAGCGCCGGATCTCCTTGGTGGCTTCCAGACCGTTCATCACGGGCAGCTGGATATCCATCAGGACCAAATGGAATCCGCCTTGTCGCCATTTCCGCACTGCCTCTTCGCCGTTCATTGCACATTTCCAGCGCACCTTCAATCTTTTCATGAAGGCCTCCAAAAGCTTCTGGTTAATGATATTATCTTCCACGATGAGGACATTAATTGGCGGAACGGTGCCGTCAATCAACCCGCCAAACATAGCACCAGGAGAAGTGGCCGCTTTTGATTTTCGGACGACACGTGGTGAGGCAGCTGCCGGGGGAGTGTGTGATTTCACCTGCGGAGATTCTACCGGCGGTGCTGCCACCGGGGGTGTAGGGATTGCGGGAGCGGAGGGAGCTGGGATAGGTTGGGAATGAGGAGTAGCGCCAGTTTCTATGGATGTCAGTGGCCATGTTAAACAAAGTGAAATCGTTTGAGAACGTACCTGTTATGCCGGGAGTTTGGGTGTTCTGGTTGTGAAGAATAGTGGGAGAATTTGTTTTGTGTCGTGTCAACGGAGGTCGTTGATGTCGTGCCCTACGGCTCCCCGGTGATGGCAGCAAAGGAGCAACCCCAGTGTTGAGGATGGAAATTGACGGCGCATTAGCCGCTGCTGACGCAGATGCCGAGTGTGTAGAGGGTGTGCCCGTGTTCGCATTGACCGGCGGCATGAGAGGGAAGTAATCGCCATGCTCGCCGGGTTCCGAATGGTGGTGTTGGTAGATTGAATGGCGTGGCGATGGCTTTGGAGTCCGACGTGAGGGGGCATCAATCACCAATGCCTCCTCGATTTTTTGTCCACCAGGGTAGTATGTATCGAGTATAGATGACAGGACTTCCTCCGGGCTCAAGAGGCGCTCACCGTGACCTGGTCGATTCGTGCCCTCTCGTGGCGAAACCCGGATAGCGATATCGGGCGAGTCAAAGCTTCTCCCTAATGAGTTCCCGTATTTCATGATGACTTGGTCGCGTAGCTCATCTACCACCGCATCCTCCCTGCATGGCACCAAGGTGGCCGAGCCACCAGGCCGTTTAACCCAAATCCGACGTGTGACCATCTCGCGAGGAATGAGGGGAGTGAAACTACTGTCCTGATCTCCCGAAGAGAAAAGACTTGCCTCTAGTAGCCCACTGATCAAGTGTTGGTGTGTTGCTGGGAGAAGGGATTGACGACGGATCGCAAGGCTCGGGCGCTTGCTTGAGGGAGGAAAGTAGGAGGCAGAAGGTCGGCGGTCATTCGTAGGCCGCTCAGGAACAGTGTTCAGGGTCGGAGTCAGTTGAGTCTCGGCTGGGATTGGAGTTTGAGCTTTCAAGTGTGTGGATTGGAAGGAGGTGCTATCGGAATGCTGAGGAGTCGATAGCGGAGGGGTTTCAAGGGAGACGGGGGATCGCCCGAGATAGAAGTCGGCAAGGAAGAATTGTATGGCTCGGTCGACGGCGTACAATTGCGAGTTCCTGTGTTATGAGGCTGTTCGGAAGGCGCAGACACGGAGGAATCCCGTTCCTGTTTGGGCTCTGATGGGATTTCCTCTATCTGACGGTCGCGAGAAGAACCGATCTCCAAATTGGAAGATACGATGATATGAGCCGGGGATTTGTTGGAGTCGAGAGGGCCCGAGGCGGGTTTTTGGTTGGAGTGGGCACTCGGATCCGCATCCGCTTTTGGAGATAATCGTCCAAGCAATTTCGCCTTCAGACGTGATATCCGTTCTGACATCGTGGGTCTTCATATCATCCTGAGCAGAGTTGGAGAAGACAGATTGATCCCTGTTGTTCTCCGTTCGGATAGCAACGTAACTGTTCGAACTGTTCGAACTTTCCAATCTTTTCCTTATAAATAAATATAGCTTCAAATGTTCAAAGAGATATATATCAAAGGTCAAAGAAGTTGAGAGGGGAGAACTGTGACACCTTTTGGGCACAGTCACGTTAGTGGCTGATCTCCCGGCTAAAAAAACAAAGCTATGGCCTTTTGTAAGGCTAATGCTGGACCTACAAGGATTGGACTTGGGCATTTGGAATTGAGAATATATATATATCCAAGATTATTAGGCATCTAGATTGTGGGGGTTGTTTTTCAATTAGGCGAAAAGGTACATATATATATAGAGCTAAAACATTGTCTAGGCAAGAGCCTTCAGCTTGTATATAGCACTTTCATTGCAAAACCTCCAGGGATCGCTAGATAACACAATTCACATATAGCCACTACACCAAACGGCCTAAGTGACACGTCCCGAGAGTGCTGAAACTTAGCCAGAGGCGGGACCGATGGTTCTCAGAGTCACCGGAATATTCGTAAGAGCTGCATCTGCCGTCGCACTCCATAGCAAATTATACCATCCGTCTTGCCCGGTCGGTTGGGCGTAGAAGTTGACGTTGTCCTGGCTGCACATAACATATTTTCCATATAAAGTCCATACATTGGTTTGCGGTGTCGACACGCTTGTGTTCGCCGTAACTGTGTTATTGTTCGCCTGGCTGGTTGGGGAGGTAAAGATGACCGGACAAGCCACTGAGCCAGTATCACTCAATCCCAACAGATTGGTGCTGGAGGCTACACCGGCTGTGGTGAATATGGCAGACTCTGTAGTGGTATTCGTGGTATTGGGGTGAGCAACCCAGGTATTTTGGTTGTCGCCAAACGTCACTGTAGCTAAATCAGACACCCTTCATGAGAACTCGGGGTTCAAGGCTTACAAGAAACTGGGAACTTGTTGGTTGCGTTCGACATGACCAGATTACCGATCTGAGCTTGGCCTGTTCGGCAAATAGAATTAACAGTGATCTCTTTAGGGGCGAGAGATATTTACCATCCGCATAGAAGATAGGCAACCCGTCGATATTGCTGCCATAGGCATATAAACTCCACGGACCATTGGCCTGTCGCTTCTCCATTGGATGCGCCGAGCTAAATGCAAAGGTCGTAACGACCACAGCAAAGATAATCGAAATCATATCTTGAGACTGACGTCAATAAGCCTTTAGTTTGATAGATATACTGCCATGTATTAATAGTTGGAGGCTTTTGAAATCGTC